TTTTACATGGGTCAGTTATACTATGCTTATATTGTAAATATTACAAACATTATGCTGAAATTTACTATAAAAATAATATTCCTAATTATAATCTTTTTACAATGCCATTATAGTTTCAAGTATCATACATTTTTCCCTCAGTGTGTCGATTCGCCTTTCCATCTCGACTTTGCTTTTCAACCTATTCAAAATCTGATGTCGCTTTCCAATTTCTCGTCGATCGTTATCGTGTAACCGCTCTTATTTCGTCGCGCTTATTATGGTATTTACGTAGCCTCGCCGTCGTGTTGTATATTAATATCTCGTCAGCAGCTCGCGAACGGATGTAATTACATGACAATAATGGTGTCACGACTATGTTACTATGAAAAAAGGGAAAATCCGAGTGATACCTTTGCTACCCGTTTCATTTAGTCGCGATGAGCGCGATCGCCTACACAATGGGGCGTAAATAAAAGAGCGTATGCGAAATACGTTTCGTCGACATCGACGTCGCATCGGCTATACGTCACGAGTTCACGTCGCTTTTCTAATAATACGTTTTTAATGGTTTCCACCGGCGCGCACTTAATTGCCGCCGTTTATCCAGCGCTATTATACGAATACTCTCTAATCCGTTTATTACCCGTCGGCTTTACTTTACTCTCTGTACAAAGTGGCCTTCATCGCGGATGGATTAAAGCGAAACTTTCCTTTTATTAAACGCCGAATTAACGTCATCGTCGTAATTTCAATTCGCTACACTCGCGCATGCGGCGCGCCAGATGGGAGGACTGTGTAATTGGAAGCGCGTTCGCGTTATTGCAATTTGGAATTATTACGACTTACAATTAGAGCCGATGACCGGACAGCCACCTTCCTCTTTTATCGCAACAGCCGCGCTCATTGTCACTATTGCGGCTATGATCCGCCGAAGTGGCGGTTTGTCCCGCAAAAACTGACGTTTTACGTGCGCGAGCGAGCGAGTATTTACATTGGACGGTAAAAAATGCGTCGATTTAATTTTCTCCTTTCACTATTTCTTCGTCGTTATGCCGACTGTAACTATGTAACTGCCTGAAATTTCCATAAAAATCGTATGTATTGGCAATTGCGTTGCACCCCTCCCACGCTAGTCTGATTTTTATTTACATAGAAATGTAATAAAACGCGCGTGTAAAATGATGATAAAAAAAAGCGCACCGAACCGAAAGCACATCTCATCGCGCGATCGTTTATCGCGTTACCTCAAAACAAATCTTTCTCCCTCTTTACCTCCGCCTTTTTTATTCGGGAACCGAGACGCTCAGTTGTAAAACGGTTTGCATACGTTTATTTCAATTAAGTAACAACGCTGTCACAATTAGAATACATTGTCGACGCATCTAAGCAGTAATCGGTTATAAGAGGAAACAAAGTAACAGTATTGAATGGAGAACTTGGGACACAACCCGGGTAGGATTTTATCGGGGCATGCCCCAAGTCCGTAAAGGGCCTAGATAGGCATGCCCTAAAATAGTCTTGGCATCGTTGGGCCTAGAAAGAGTGTACAAAGGCAAATTCTGAGTAGAATTTCCTTAACAGACCCTGAGTAGGCACTATTGGGGATGCTCCTAATTAGGCCTACCACTGTTGCATCTAGAAAGGACCTACAAAGACAAATTCTGAA